TCCCATTAAAAAGGAAAATAAGATCCTTTAAGGTTTTGTTTCTCCTATGACACTCTTTGGAGTGTGAAGATATCCTTTAGCTTCCTTAGGAAGAAGCAACAGCCATATTTCCTTCCCTGTAATACTGTAACATTATTTATATAACTCTTCCTTTCAGTAACTCTTTTCCTTTGCACACATAATAGAAAAACTGTTGTTACATTTCATAGAGCGGAAATATCAGTCATAGACTCATAGAAAGTTAAAACCAGTAGGAGTCACAGACATCAGTCTGTACACCTTTTTATTGTACAGATGAGGAAATGAGACCTATAGAAGTTAATCCATTTTTTGAGTCAGAGTCTCACTCTGTCACCAGGCTGGAGTGCAGTGGCATGATCAACAGCTCACCACAGCCTCAACCTCCTGGATTCAGGCAGTCCTTCTGTCTCAGCCTCCCGAGTGGCCAGGACTATAGATGTGGGCCACCATGCCCAGCTAATCTTTTGATTTCTTGTAGCAAGTTCTGGCTACGTTGCCAAGGCTGGTCTGGAACTCCTGAGCTCAAGCCTGGGCCTTTCAAAGTGCTGGGATTACAAGTCACTGCACCTGGCCTTGTGTTAGCTTTTGGTGAGAGAACTGGAACTTGAATCCAGACTAGAATCAGGTATGTGCTTCCAGAATCCTATGTCTACCAAAAGCTATACTATTGTAGCTTAGTGCATAATTTCTCATCATAGTTCAACTGTGAAACTGTGACTAGATCCATAATGAGGTCCACAGAAACAATGGGAGGAACGGTTGCCTTGATTTGCCTTTGTACACAAATGTCTGTAAACTGCAAGCGACACAGCGGATATGCAATAAGCATTGATTACAACACTCGATTTAAAATTTAAAGAGCATTCATTCAACTCAGAAATGCTTTTGGAAATAAGAAAAAATCGGGAGTCTCACCACTAACTGCCAATAGTCAACTGACACGCTCTGCGATTATGTGTTTTCATTTTACTATTCAAAAACGTTAAAAACTAATATATGCTTAACTTAAGGACCTCAGCTGTCCTGAAACATTCCCTTGCTAGGTGCAGCCAGGAAGTTTTCTACATATTTTGGAACTCTAGACAAGCAAAGTGATTTGAATACTCAAGAGAAGGAGATAAATAAGATAAAAGTAAAATACCAATTCCACAGGATATCTTGGATCTAATTTCTTTCTTGATGAGATCTATTGACTGACTGTGCACTGAGCCATCATTATCTAGGGTACAAGCTGTTCTTCAATCTCTGCTATGTAAAATATCTTCTCATTATCACACAAAACCCACCATCAAACCAGAGAATAATTTGGGGGAGTTCATGGCTTTGATGGCAACCCACAGCAAGTGATGCTGTCTTGACAAAATATAAAATTACCTCCAGCCCTGAGCTGGAACTATAGGAGAGCAGCAAACAAGCCCTATAGTATTATTTTAGATGAGGCACAGTGATAGCTCTGCACTTCCTTCAGGCCTCCTCTTTCTTCCTGAACGAACTCCAGGGAATGGCATCATGTCAGGCTTTCCAGATGGATTATGTGAAGCCATAGCTCAATGTCATTTTCAATAGGAAGCCTCATAATTAAAGGTCAAATAGTCACTTCATCTGCAATCAATCAATAGAAAAAGTACTAATACGAAGAACTAATCAATCAATGGCAAATGCACTAATAAAAGCAATGAATCAAATCCAGCATGTGTGTAGACGCATGTACATGGGGGAGATCGAGACAGGGTGAGAGCAAGAACAATAAAATAAATCGAAGGTGTATATGCAAGAGAGTATTCAGAAAGCTTCTTGAGCAGGAGTTTTCATCTTTGGTTCATTAGTTACATGGTTACCACTTGGCCTGCAATGATTTATTCTTAAATACAAACACCGGATGTAAAAATGATTGGTATTTTGTAAGTTTCAGTTAATATATTCTATTTGAGATGCTAAAGATATATATGTAAACATAAAATCACCAGAAGAAATATTGTGACAGTGACTGCAAAGGGAAAGATACATTTTTCAAGTACCAAATAGGTATATTATGTTACATTTCATCTTTGTGTGAGAGGGGAGAGAAAATATAGCTGAGTGATATTGCCTGAAATTTCTCCCTGCTTTCTGGAACACAAATTCTTCATACTCTGTGTGATGTTCTTTCATTCCATGAAGATAAGAATTTCTATTAGGATCATTATCAGTCTGTAGCTCAGGTCACTGTCATGGCATATCCTCTGTACCAGTGATGTCAGGTCACCAGTAGAGGTAAATATATCCTGGATCTTGTGAAAGTGGACACAGTATATTTATAGGGCTTACCAAGTCTCTGCTTGCAGTGGCATCCAAACATCCCTTGCTCTATGTGAAATATAGGTGATCTCTGAGATAAGGGAAGCGGCAAAGAGGCCATTTTTATAAATGTTACCTAGGAGATTGCGGGATGGAAGCCATATATGATTAAGGCAATGTAGAATATTTGAGGTAGAAGTAAATTTATCTTATCTTAGAGCTAAGGAAACGGAGGCCTGGGTAGTGTCAGTGGAAGAGCCAGTCTGAGTATCTGGGTCTCACAATTTCAAGAGCGCCTACAAGTGTCATATTGTGAAAGTAGCTGTGGATTTACGCTTTGTGATTACTTAGATATTGCACTAGTTCAGTGTCTTATTGGAGGTTCAAAGTGTCCACTTGTGGGAGAATGCTGCCAAAGCAAACACAAATCCAATTTAACCCAACCCCTTTTAGCAAAACAACTACTTCTGAGCATCTAGCTGCTTGCCTGAAAATTGGTTTTCAGAAAGCATAAAGAATAGGAGATTATGGCTTTGGGATTAAGAAAAATGAAAAGACAAAAAAAAAAATGATTAAATGGGTAGGTGATTTTGCTTATAGAAAAGAATACTGATCACGCTGCAGTCTGCTTCTTGGGTATACTTCTTGCTCTTTGTTCAACACAGTCAGCTCTAGCACAGGACTTCACAGGGAAGCGAGTGAAATACACTTAGTTTTCCTGACAAAAGTGAATCTCTGGGAATGGGTCAGGTTTAAAAGCCCATTGCAGAAAAGTATTTGGTGCAGCCATGGTTCAGCATGTGATCTGAGGACAGTGATCCCTGCACTCTGCACCTCTGAGAGGTCTGGCAGCACTTGCCTCTGGGCTCCCTAACTTTATAAAAGTCTCTTAGTTTTATTTTTTTATTTTTTGGTCAGAGTCTCACTCTGTTGTGTGCAGGCTGGAATGCAATGACATGATCCTGAGTAGCTGGGACTACAGGTGCGTGCTACCACCTGGTTAATTAAAAAAAAAAAATCACTCAGGCTGATCTCGAACACCTGGGCTGCTGGGCCCTATCTTGGCCCTCCAGGCTGCTAGGATCATAGGCATGAGCCACTACACCCAGCTAAAAGTCCCTTAGTTTTCAGAAGACCTGGAATTCCAGATGTCACATCACAGTAACACACATAAGAAAGAAGTGCACTAGATCACACTTGTTACATGAAAATCTACTGGAAGGCATCAGGGGATTGGAACTCTGAAAGTGGTAACATAGTTACAACTACTATAGTTATTTATGATGAATAATAGCTACTGCTTATAGAGTAGCCACCATGTGCTGGGCAACATTTTACACTATTTATTTTGGCCTGGGATATAGCAGGCTCTAAGTTGCGCTATTTCATTTAGTCTATAATAATCTATTTACAATACAATTAGTGCACACATTTTGTCATTCATTGACTATCTGTTATCTCTCAAGTGCTGGGCTAGGTACTTAACAAATTTTAATCTTTCCAATACTCTTACAAAGTAAGTGTTATTCCGCCCATTTTACAGATGAAAAAGCTAAGGTTCAGGGAGGTTAGCTGATTTGTCCAAGGTTACAAAATCAAGATTGAAATATGGATTCCAAGGCTGTTTCAACTTCAATTTGATGATGATTACAAAGAAAACTAAAATACTGCAATGCACATAACTATAAATTATATACAGTATTTATTCAAATAATCTGAAGCCCTAGATAACAGCTGCTTCTTAAGAGTCTGTCCAACTTATAAATCATTTTCCATACTTGCTGAGACTGATAGTAGACTCTAGACAAATAAAAACATTATAAAATGTCATTATTTTCTTGTTCACAGACTGAGTTTTTTTTAACATGAGCAAACTTAAAGCAATGTCATGATTCTTCATTCTCTTAAGTCATATGCCAAAAGGTAGAGACATTTTTAATATGAGTTTTTGCTATTACATGCCTATCAGCTTAAGGAGTTTGTGGGTGATGTATATTTCAATAAAGCTCCTGATTACTTAATAACTTTTAATGAATAAAAATATAGATTCTGAATGTCTAACAGAATATTGGGATAAAGCCATGCAATTGGATAAAGCTAAGTAAAAATAGCACTTTTCTTCTTATTCTGTTTTTGCCCATTAAGTAAATACTTATTTCACTTTTAGTGCTAATCCAATTGAATTAATGATAACTATATTGTTTCTTTATAGAAATAACATAACATTCAGAAATGAACTTAAAAACTAATGTCAATATTAAATTGGAGTAAGAACATTATTCCCACCTTGCTTTGAGCTCACAGGAAAGAAGTTAACATTTTCCAGGAACAACTTCAGAGTCTTCCAAAGTGAAGTTTTTTTGTTTTTTGTTTTTTGTTTTTTTTTGCCAATTCCTTTTTTAGAAACAATCCGCCCTTCTACCTCCCCTGCCCAGACTCTAAGGCTAACATTCTACATTGATGGTCTCTTATGAGAACTGAAAACATAATTGCAAATTAAGCAACATTTTACGCTATTAATTTTGGCCTACAGTTCAATCAAATAACAGTATTTGAAAGCAATGACCCATCCTCACTTTGCTATATTGTTCTTTATCTAACAGTGGACAATACTCCTACCCGTTTAATCTGAAGAGTTCAAAATCATAAAATAAGACTACATAAGGGTAATATGTGGTTTTTTAACCTTGTGGATCACTTACCCAATGTGAGAGATTTGTGTGTGGAACAGAAAATGATAGCCACAGTGTCTGCTGGTGTGAAACCCGAATTATTCCTAGGGATAAAAAAAAAAGGTTGTTTTTTTTTTTTTTTAAACAAATACTTTTATAAAAAGCGTATTTAACATATCTGAAATCAAATGTAGTACCTACCTTCATGTTAACATCCCTTTGATCAATCCTGGTGACAGAAGTAATTCGACACCCAAATGTACAGAAGTGTCTGAATTTCTTTTTAGAGAATCACTTCTGAGTTGTTTATCCATGAAAAGGAGAACAGTTTTACAGATGTGTGATGCAGGTCTCCCAAGATCACACATGTAATCAGCCCCAGGTGCAGGACTTGATGAAAATGGTACATTGAGAAGCTCCTTTAACTAAGACTCTAGGTTATCACTTGGTATTACCCAGTGGCTTGAAAGAATTAATGTATCTCCAGAAAGGTTCTCTTAAGGGGCAACACATCGTTTTTATATCAAATACACTCCTGAGAAATACATGGTATGAACAAAGATTTACCAACATATGTTTTATTTAATTACTTTTTTCCTTTGAGTTGGGGGTCTCACTCTGTTGCCCAGGCTGGAGTGCAGTGGTATGACCATAATTTACCACAGCCTCGACCTCTGGACTTAGGCAATTCTTCCGTCTCAGCTTGGACTACAGGCACATGCCACCATCCCTGGCTAATTTTTTAATTTTTTGTAGAGATGGGGTCTTGCTATGTTTCCCAGGGTGGTCTCAAATTCCTGGGCTCAAGTGATCCTCCCACCTCAGCCTCCCAAAGTGCTGGGATTAAAGGTGTGAGCCATTGTGCCCAGCAAGCGAACATCATATGTTTTAGTAAAAACAACAAATTATCCTTTTTTAAGCATTACTTTCTATCAGAGTTTGTGTAAAGACAACAACCCCATAAGCTAAGTGATACAATGTTCTTATTTATAGATGAGAAAACTGAGCCCCATAGAAATATGTAATTTACTCAGGACCCATTGCTATTAAGAGAGAGAGCCAGGATTCAAATAGAGTCTGGCTCCTAAACCTGTTCTTGCTACTACTATGTTCTACTATTAATATATAATATGTTGATATATAATATGTTAAAAGTCTTGCTTCATCAAAATTGATCGAACATCATGGGGGATCATTACTGGGAGCTAGATGTCATAATCTTATTTCCTATTTTAGATAATAAAAGATTAGAGAACCATGAGACAAAAAGGGTAGAAATGTAATTATTATTGTGTCCTTATGTTTCAGGAACTATTCTTTTCTATAGAATGAAGATCTGACTGTACAGTGAGTCTATTCCTTCCCTCCCCTGAGCTCTGACGAGAGTTCGCAAATGGAAAATGCTCCAGAAACTGACTGTATACATAAAGTTGCAGATATAACAATCGATGTGATTTTCAAGGATCGCTAATTAAAGAGATCCCACCATTCCCTTTGTAACCCCATGCATAACTTTTTCCAGGAGAAAAATTTTCCCTAAATAGATCTCACATCCTGTTTTCTTTGCTATGTGCTCACAGGAAGGGAGAAAAGTCTTCTCCTCTTCCTCATTCCCTGTGTGTGTGAAGAGAATATCTGGCTGCTTCTCTGAAAAGGCACACATGTTCCTGGTTCCTGACCAGTCTTACTTCTAGCTCTTTCTTGATAACAACTGTCCAAACAGAAATTTGGGGAGTCTCACCTTGGTGGAGAATTCTCCATGGATGCGTATCAGTTGAGTGGAATAAGATGGGCTTACTGTTCTCTCATGTTATTCTCATGCTTATATTGTGATACCACTCTTGTGTTTTAAACATGGCTGGCATACTTACGCATCCCTTTATTCCTCACAGTAGGCCTAATGGGAAAGGAGCTCCATGAGGCTCTGTAAATGTGGGGCCGAGAGAGGAAAAGAGTACAGACATACATGAGAAAGAGGAGTGGAGTTAGAAATAAAGTGTTTTGTTGCTGAAAGAGAAGATAGCCTCTAGCTTGGAAGGTGATGATGAAATACAAGAGAACCTTCTGGGAGGAAATAACAACGGAGCTGAGCCTTTGAGAACAGATTCGGAAACGTGTGGATGTGTGTTTTAGGTAAGAGATAGTGAGGCTGCAGTGTGGGCGTGCAGTGGGCACCTGGCAAAGAGCAGCCCACGTGTTTGCAGGACCTTGGAAGCTCCTTCCCCATCAGCTCCTTCCCCACCAGGCCCTCATGGGCCTACCATGATGAATACAAGGAAGAAGAAATATGTCAGTCATGTTTAAAACACAAGAGTGGTATCGCAATATAAACATGAAAATAACATGCGCAAACAGTAACAAGTGATATGCATCTGTGGAGAATCCTCAGCTGAGGTGAGACCCCCCCAAAATTCAGTTTGGACAGTTGTTATCAAGAAAGCTAGAAGTAAGACTGGTTAGGAAGCAAGAACATGAATATCTTCTAGAGATTTGTGTGCAGGGATGCTGGCTTGTGACTAGGGGTGTGGACTTGAGAAGATGGGTTAAGGGGAGCTGCTGAAAGACTTGGGGCAGTAAAATGACATGATTGGACCTGTTTTAAGGACAAGTCACCCCACAGCATGAGATAAGACTGAAGGTGGTGAAGTGGGCAGGAAGCAAAGAACTAGGTGGACCTCAAGAGTCATAGTGAGGACAGGAGACAGCAGAAAGGGACATGGAGAGGGATGAACTCGTCAACTGTCAACCACACAATTGTCGCTCTCAACAGCTTAAGAACACAGGCTTTGGGGCAAACAGCCGATTTTACATCCAGACTCTCCTTTTGCTCACATATCAACTGAGGATAATACTGCCTGACTCTTCTTAGGGTCAATTGTGAGGATAAATGCCAGTGCTTGTTAAGAATTTGACACAGTATGCTTAGCAAGGCTAGTTGATATTGTTATTATTATTGCTTTGAGAAAAGAGGAGAAATTAAATAGAAATGAGAGACTTTGAGTGTATAGGGTTGAGAGGAGCATTAAGGTATGAATGGAAACAGAATGGAAGAGGTGGTTCAATGCATCTTGGGGAGCAGCCAAGGAGTTAATGTTGATACAGACTGGATTTGTAGTAGTAAGAAGGACTGTTTTTTGCTTTTCTTCAAAAATCTGGTAAAGAGAAGAAAGGGGTCATGGTGGATTTGAACATGACTATCTAGAGATAGTGAAGATGCAGAAGATAGGTGTCACTGATGAACCCATGTCCGCAAAGAGGCCTGAGAAGGTGAGTCTGAAGGGGCAGGCTAAAGAGGGGTGTTTCCTACCATCTCTGAACTGGAAGCAATGTAGACAGGGTGAGTGAAAAATACGGGACTCTTTTACGTAGAGAATGGGAAAGCAGAGGAAACTTATGTTGGAGATTTTACTTTCTTTGTAAAGTATGAGGCATTTCACTCACACAGAGTTTGAGGTAATACCACAGCCTGAGAACCAAAGACACAGGAAGGGTGGAGAATGTGAAATACAGTCAATTCACAATAAGCAGCTTCCACGCAAGAGTGGATGTCCCCCTGTGACTGCAGGGTACGGAGCAGAACCAACTAGCCTGGTTTGGGGATGTTCTCCAGCAATGCTTGTGGGTTGGTAACATTTCAAAGACCCTTTTAGTCTTTTGCAGTCCTTGTTTATACCGAGTCCTTGCTGCATCTGGGTTTATGCAGTTTGGTTTTCTTCCCAGAGATGTGGCAATACGCTTCTCCTTCAGTAAGCTTTGTTCTGCTTGATATCTTGTTTTTTTCCAGACTGCAGCACGTTTTCAACATGTCAAAGCCTCTCTGGTCAAGGAGGCTCTGATTTAATCGGGTGCAGGCTGCCATTCATTCTTTACGATGTGGCTAAAGAGGATATTTGTAAGATATGCTTAATTGTCCTCTGTTTCGGGTAAGGAGACTGAAGCTAGGCCCACACTGGGAGATTTCCAGCTTATATGAATTAGAACCCTGCTGTACAGTCCTACTGTACAAAGTCCGTCAGTGAGAAGGGAGAGTTACAACCCTGAGATGTCAAAATGGTATATTTATGGTTACAAACAGTATTTGTTCTCATAGGGTTGATCTGTACTCCAGCTGCATGATGGATCTCAGGGAAAGCTGATAGATAGATGCTTACTTTATCCTCCATTCATGAGGATGATCAATTACCACAGCACAACATTAGGGAGCACTTTTCTAAGCACTTGGCATCCAGTATTACTTCCTTCTCAGGACTGCTTTAGAAGCTAGATAGTATTATGGACCTGCTTCTTCCAAAAAGGGAATTTGAAGCACAAAGAGGTTACACAACTTATCTCAAGTCATACAACTCTCAAGTTGGCTGCTCCAAATCTTGGACTTAAATTTGTCTTCTGAGAAATAAAATGTAACAACAACAACAACAACAACAACAAATAACACTGCAAAATTTAGTGGGTGAGAGCAGATATCTTGGTAAGTACCTACCCTTAGCCACATTCTGTCAAGGGTGGCTCATGGCACAAGGTCATGACAATACCCAGAAAAACAAAGTGTCCTCTACATTCTATTTAAATCATAATGACTACAATTCTTTTCAGTGATGAACATCTCTATTGTGTCTGCTCACATTCTTGAAAGGAATCACATTACTATTTATTTTCTAACTCTACCTTATCTCTTTTTAATATTGATTTTCTTTTTATCCTGTTTTTAATGATTCTTTTGATCACTCTGGCTTCCCTTGAGATGTTTATTTCCTTTTCTTCCCAACTGGTCTTTGTATTCTCTCTTACAAAGCTTTCAATCAGTGTTTTCCACACAATATTTATTTTGCTTTCCTTTGCAGTACCCACAAAGGAAAACGTGTCAAGTTTTACTAGTAGAATCACAGAATGTGGAGCAGAAAAGGTCCTCTGAGATAGTTCTGCCTAAGCCCACTGTTTTTGGAGGAGAAAACTTCCATGTGAAATACTTTCCTTTGTTAGCCTCTGTACCTGTGGTTTTGTCTCTGCTTGTTTTCAAAGACCTTAGCTGTGTGGTACTAAGCAAGTTAACCAGAGTCTCTAGGCTTAGCTGCCTCCTCTCTGAAATGGTAAGGAGACTAACCCTTAATGATAATGCTATCTTCCGCCCCTGTCTGCCTTTCTCCCTCTCCCACCCATCAGCGTACCCCACTTCTCCCAGGGCTATGCCGAAGGCAGATAGAGATATTTGACTGAAAAAGTACTGATAAGAACTAAAACACCTACACATATATTTGAACATTTGTTTTCTTCCTTTTCCTTTAATAGTTTCTTTTGTCACCCTAGTGACAATCTAGGTTTCTGTTACTCAAGTTCTCAGGCTACCAAACTATCTTTTATATATATTTTTAAAAGACTCTCAATTTCTGTTTCCTTTTCCTAAGCTTTTAAATTTTTTTTAAAACTTTGACAGCTACCCAAAGTTGTGGAAAGATTAGGTCACTATGGATAGTTGACTCTTGGCATGATGACTCAATTCTCATTTTCTAGCAACTGTGATGGAGAAAAGACAAAAAATAATATATTACAAAGCTAGCAAATGTAAGTCCTCCTCTTTTATCATTAGTTTTTGATATAACATAAACTAGTTTGGTATAATAAATATTCGATGGTAGCTAACATTTATTGAGCATTTATATATGCTAGGTGTTATGCTGAGGCCTTTCTGTGCATATTATTTAATTCTCCAAATGATGCTGTGAAATAGGTATTACTAGCATCTCCATTTTATATATAAGGAAACTGACAAAAGCTACAAAGTTATTAAATAGGACTGATACCTAAGTACGTCTGACTCCAGAGTTGGAATTTTTAACCCTAACACTGTTCTATAGACAAATCAATGAGAACACAATAATAACCCTCAAAACTATTTTAAATACTCACTAGCATGGTAACACATTAAGTCGGGAAGTCTAAGAGATGCTAACCAGGTAAGCAGAGTGTTGCTGGAGAGTTGAATTTTCTAGGCTGGATCTCTCCTGGTTTGGGCCTAAACTTCCATCACCAGTGTGTGGTACATGTTGAACACAGACACACAAAACAACAGACTGACTTCCATTCTGAGATTTGTTTGTCTTTTGATATTCAAATTGGTTTTAGATTTACTGAATTGGTTAAAAAAACAACAACAACGAAACAACCGAATTTAAAAAGTGCACGTGTGCACGCGTATACACATACACATACACACACAGGGCAAATATCACTAAATTTAAGTAGGGACAAAAAGTAGGAGAAGAAAAAGGAACTCAACAGAGTATAAACCAATAGGTCCTAGTTCAAACTCTTGATCAAATCTTTGACTAATTTGTTTTACCTTTGACTATTTATTTTATAACTCTATCTTGTTTCTTCTTAATATTGACTTGAAGAATTTACTGAAACTTGAAGAATTTAGTCAAATACTCTTTACAAATTCCCTATCCAGAAAAGAAAAAGAAAACAAAACAACAAAACCCAAATTTCCTAACCAAAACAAATATTATAAATTTTAAAGTAACTGAAATAGTTGAGTACAGTGGAAAAGTCGTGGGCAAATGCTTTTGGAGGTGTCAAATGGAAACAGATTTCAATTCTAGGTGTATTACTTGCCTTCTGATGTTGGTTACATTACTAAACTACTAAAATCTGATTTCAGGTACATTACTAGACTAAACGACTGTAAGCATGGATCCTCACCTGCAAAAGAGCAGGAAAAATGCATAGCATAGTATAGTATATTTCAGCATAGTTTGTGCTGACAGATGTGCATGAAATAACCCAGCCACAATCCCTAGAACAGAGCCTGGCATGCAGCAGGGTTCAATAAATATCGGCATCTTTCATTCCTCCAATAAGTCCTCAGGAGCTATGGAGTCTCTCAGCATGAAAACCATCTTCCCAATTTTGTCCATTTGAAAAATTCCAATATTTTAATGGACTACTTTGGGAGACACATAACCTTGGAGCAAGATGGCAGCAGTTTCATATTCTGTTGTTTATCAAAGAATGCACATGCCTGACAGTGGGTCGAGGAAGTTAGAACCTGACCAACTTCCTTCAGGTTCCATTTAGAACCTGACTAAGCGGTGCAGCAAAGGCAGAATTAGGCAGGTAAAAAAGCTCAAAACCACAGGTCCTTATGAAAGTCCAGTCTTTTCCATGACCAAAATTCTTAATTTTCGTTCAAGTAGCTGTGATCACCCCCTTGCACCCCCCTCCCCATGCCTCCTTCAGCAGCAATCCTGGTAGTGGCTGTTCTGGGCTCTATTTTATCAAAGAATTTTTCAGTCACTGACAGGATATCTGCATTCGACCTAGTCTGATAGGATAAGTGGGTCTGATGATCACTTCTGTCACAAAGACCAGCAAACAGACAGCCACTGAAAGGCAAACGTCTTTTCTAAGGTGACATAACAAGTCATTTACAAAAAGAACTTTAAAATTGCTCCTACTCTCAGACTTACCAATTAAGTCATATTTTCTGTGACTTAATGGCTCCAGGCTTTACTCTTACTTCATAAATCATAACCTCAAGCTTGGGAAAATGCTTCAAATGACATAGATCAATAAGTTTTTATTGACTATTTACAATCAGCCTTGTGCTAGACAAAGTGTTGTAAGATCCAAGAGCCTAACATGAAGCCTAAACCATCCACAGAGCTGATGCTATTTTAAGCCTTATAAACCGCCTAGGCACTTTCCCTGGTGGCCACTCATTGCTCTCATCTGGTGTTCAAGGGCCTTTCAATCTGGCTCAAGCCTACCTTTCCAGTTACTATTATTTTAAATATTCTTCTCCTATTGACTCACCATGTCTCGTCGCGCGCGCGCGCGCGCGCGCGCGTGTGTGTGTGTGTGTGTGTGTGTGTGTGTCCACCTGAGCATTGTTGCTTCTTCTCCACTAAGAACCGCCTCACATCTGTAATTGCTGAGCAATTAGCCATTCTGTTTGGCTCAGGTCAAGCCCTATCTCCTCCACGAAGCCCTGCTCGCCCATTCGCTTGGGAAGTGTTTTCTCCTTTGAATTGACTGCAGGTTGGCTTATTGGACTACTCAGAGAACACTTAGGTACAGTGCACATGTCTAGTCTAGAAACTCATGCAAGACCAGAATCATCTCTTATTTTTGGCATCCAATATGGTAACTTTCTCATACCAAAGGCTAAGCCATGTTTGTTGAGTGTATAATACAGGTGGAAGAATTTTCATTTGAGGCGTGCCTTGAAGAACAGGAAGGGAGAACTAGGACATGGAGAACAATTTGACTATGGGGATAGACTAAGCAGGGAACAGAAAAGAGAAAGCATGAAGTTCTTCCAGAGAACAGCAAAGATTCTACCTTAACCTAAAGCTTAGACTACATGAATATTAGTAGTGGTTCATGAGACTGGTAAATAGACTGAAGGGCCTAGCCCTCTCAAATGAACTTCATTCTGAAGGCCCTGGATGACCACTGAAGAGAAGTGAACAAGACAGTCATTATCAGAACGTTTCATCATTGGAAGCAGTATAACATGCATAGAAAAGCTGGGTCTAGAAAAGGAATTACCGGTAAGGTGTCCATTAGTAATAGTTGAGGGAGAAAAGAGGCAACGTGAAATGAATTAGAGAAGTGGCTTTGCGAGCAGAAAAAATATTACAGAGGTAAGATCAGAAATTTTAAAAATAATGATGTAACTTCCCGGGTATGATAGTTCCATTAGAAAAAAGAATAAGAGAGAAAGAGAAAATTTGGGGGGAAAAGATGAATTCTATTTTTAACATTTTGAGTCTGAAGTCTTGTTAAGACAGTCAGGTGATGATATCCAAATGGCAAGTGAAAAATAGGTCAGGAACTCAAGGGACATTGGAAGGCAAGGTCTTAACTTGAAAATCATCAGTGTGAAGCTAACAGCTCAAACCAATAGAGGGAGGGAGCAGCCTCAGCACACAAAGGAGGACAGGTGAGACAAGAGTCAGGGATATATTCTTTCTAACACCTACAACTTGAGGGTGGCAGGAGGGAGACAGAATGGTCTGGGAGACCGAGACACAAACAAACAAACAAAAGAACAGTATACTGGCAGACTAGCTAAGTAAAGACTCCTCGTTTAGGAGACTAATAAGAGATAGAAAATCACTTACCTTGTTGAAAAGATGAAGGTTAAAAGCATAAAACTCAGCTGAATAGAAAATACTGAAGAAAAAAAGATTGAATCTAAGTTAGCATTCTAAAAGCAGTATTTGTTGCATTTTTATTGGTATACTTAGTTTTATCTGAAACTTACGAGAATTCAAAAAGAAACACAAATGAATAAACCAAACATAAATTGCTAAACTGATAGACTCATTTAAATTAGTGGGACTCGATCTGTTCTTGATATCCCCAGACACAACTTTTGAGATCTAGGTAAAACCTAAAACCTGCTTTGATTTCAGATTTGGTTATTTAATCTGGTCAATTTAGAAAGAACTGGCTTATAGTATGAGTATTTATAGCAAAAGACACAAATGTGATAGCATATAATGTATACTTTGGAATAACTCATCTTGATTTTGTAACAAAAGATTCTTTGACATTGCAATATTAACAAAAGTTCCCTTTTGTATTATAAGATAAAGAGAACAAAAGGTTGCTGTTTGAATTTTAGCAGTTACCTGCAATTTTTTTTTTTTTTTTTTTTGAGTCAGAGTCTCACTCCGTTGCCCAGCCTGAAATGCAGTGGCATGCTCACAGTCACTCCAGCGTCCACCTGCTGGGCTCAGGCAAACCTTCTGCCTCAGTCTTCCAAGTAACCGTAACTACAGGCATGCGCTACCATGCCCGCCTGGCTGTTTTTGATTCATTGTAGAGATGAGGTCTCGCCAAGTTACCCAGGCTGGTCTCAAAACTGTGGGCTCTGGCAATCCTCTTACCTTAGCCTCCCAAAGTAGTTACTGCATTTTATAGTCTACTGCTACTCAAAATGAAATGATATTATTTTAGGTATATTTTATTAGAAAAATATGATGTAAATATTCACATTTTAACCAATGCAGCCAAATTATTCCATTTAGAAAATAGTATCATGTATTATAAATCCTGTTTTTAAATCACAGTAAGAGGTAAAATCAGTTTAAAGTTATAATAAACTAAATTTGTGACAAAGAGCTTAATTTGACATTTGAAGTGGACAGATATAAGGCTTTTCTCATCTGACATCAACTCTTTTAAATCAGAAAATGGTGCAACAGACACACACGAAAAGAGATTAAAATCGTAAGTGTGTAACTGAGGGCTTTTTAAAGAACAAGTACACATGACAAAGTCACTGAACAAATAATATAATATGAAACGAAGTATTCATTCCTAGTTAAGTTGACATTAGAATTTAGAGGACACACATTGCTACGTGGTGTTACTGAGGAATAACCAGGATATCCCATTTGCCAACTTACTTATGAACAGTATGAGGACGAGGCTGAATTTATCCAGGTCAATATTTGGGTTTGAGAACGTGTCACAGAATGTTGTGTAGATGATCATGAGGAGCACACTGCTGCTAACGGCACCGAAAGGAGGTTTCTTTCTCTCAAGCCAATCCTTGATGTATCTTCGGACAATCTGAAATACAGAGATCAACAGGTTGCCTCTTTTCAGAGATGGAGGGAGTTGAATTGGGCAGCACAAAGTGATTCTGACAGCAGAAAGACATAAAGGAAAGAATAATTTGGATGATGGCCACAGTGGATTTCAAAGCTTCCCTGCCACCCCACTCTTCTTCTGGGGAATTGAACATTTGTAGTGCAACTTCCACTGGGTGTCCGTAATGAGAGTATATTTTCAGCAGCATTCAAATCCATCCTTAATCATGCCAAATGCTCTTTGCTAGCTGTCACTGAGACATGCCCATTAAGCCTCCCCAAAGTTTATCTCCTCTGCTGATCCTAATGGATGTGTGTAATTATCACAGTCCCCTTTGCCTCAACAGACAATTCCAAGTGCAACTTTGGGAATCTTAAAAATCTGACATCTTCAAGAATTTCAAGACGGTAGATAATCGAAAGTGATCCATGGAACATATTAATATTTAAAACGTTAGCAATGCACCAGAAGTTTTTAATTAAATTATAACTCATGCTTGAAAAGCAAAAGTGCATGTGTTGTGGGAGTTTAAATAATTCAAACTCTGAATATCTAGAGTTTTTGTGAATCCAAAGACAAATGCCATTTGCATACTTTTAGAATTCCAGAATTAACACTTAAAAATGAATAAACCTGTCCTAACTTTCCTACAAAGGATCAGTGAAATATAAAGTTATAGAGCAATACTGTCTTATTTTAAAATCAAATCAGATATTTAAAATCAGGTCAGTCTGAATATTGGTGATAACTTTTGTTTGGACATAAAAGTGAACCACTCTACTTAAAACCTTATTTTACTTTTGAAAGAAGCTGTACAAGTTCTATCATAATGACAATAGCTGAGACATATTAAGTTTTGAGTCACTCATTATCCTGCATAATTGAACATGAGATTTCACAACAGGCTGAATTACCATGGATCCATTAGCAATAATGAGGTCAGGGAACTTCTCCTGATAAGGCTGATGGGGTTCTGTCATCATCTACTCTGTCACTAAAAAGGCTTAATTCACAATGGAGCACATCTTTACTGATACACAAGAACAAAATAAACTATTCTCAACAGAACCTTTGATCAGTCTCAACTGTTCTCAAGGACTCACTAAGTGAAATAACAGGGTAACTAAAGGAAGTCCTGGCAGAAAGCTGACCAGCTGGTACAAGGTGTAGGTATAAAACCTAAAAGGTTGATTGGGGTGGGAATGAAGGGGAAAGTGTGCTATATAGAGATAAATAGTGGTGAAAATTTTAAAAGTAGGTCTTGTAATTAAGTCAGCTGAATTTATAAAATATTATGTTTTTTGGGGGGAGAGGGGTGGGTAGAAGTGATCCCAAACCACAGTGAGTTTTATCTAGTTCATTTCTTTCTTTTTTTTTTTTTTGAGTTGGAGT